GCTACGAACCCGGCGACCCGAGTTCGATTCCCGCTAAAAGGCCACCACCGGTGACGATTATTTGAACCGGTCCTGGGCCTCCCTTAGGTCGACTCAGCCTCAAATAAGTAACTGGTGTGGTGTGTGAACATCGCCACTGGGGAGACAAAGGCGGCTGGGCGTCGTGAATGCAAGTCCTGGGCGAAGCCGGATAGTAAAGCTAGTATTCTATATGACACAGAACCTGCCGAACAATAAATAAAATATTCAAGAACGTGACTGGGAACAGAATAGCCAAAAATGTAGAGGCCAAACAGCCTCATGAGCAGCTACCAGGAACATTATCGATCAGATTCTGAAGAGCCTCGTGAGTTTACCCATACCATTGTGCCTACCCTTTGTAAATAATAAAAAGGCATTTTGCTCAGTGGAAATGTATGCAGACATTCAAATTCAAAAACCAAGTCTCAAATGGAAAAATAGTAGTAGTAGTAAAAAAGACACACCGAGTTATTCAGAGCGGCATCAGAAGATTATTTTTTCCCCCGAAAAATGTTATTGCTGAAGGGCTGCAAAATGTAAAGTATTAAATAATTTCTCTAAGACGATGGTACTTTGCAAGCCGACTGGCTATCAACAAAGATTCGTTCACGAAGCCATCCATACATACAGACACAGACACAATTTCAACCGAGACGATGGTTTTAAACTCAGAAATCATTGGAAAGATGTCACCAACCACTTTGGGTCATGACTTGATTTGTGTTTTATTGTCAACCTCTACCGTCAGCAGTGTGGAGGTGTGTAGCGAGGTGCAATGCCCCCCCCCCCATCACTACCCCCCCCTCTCTACCCCTATCTCTACCCCCCCTCTCTCTCCCCCCTATCTCTACCCTCTTCCTCCCCCCATTGTCGAACACACTTGGACTGCGCCCTCGCCTTCAGCTCCACCTCTATCTCTCCCCCCCCCCCCCCCCATCGGAACTCCCCCCATCTCTACCACCTTCATCCCCCTCCATTGTCTCCCCGCCCATGCTGTGTACGCACAGTCCTCCTCCCAACTCCCCCATTGTCTACTCTACCCCCACTCTCTCCCCAAATCTCTCTCCCCCTATCTCTACCCCCTTCCCCCCCCCATTGTCTGACTGGCTGCCCCGCCCATGCTGTTCACGCTGCACAAGCTCTCCTCGTCCAACTCTCGTCCCCCACCCACTCACTTTGGAAACCCTTATAAGCAGTTGCATTTGGAGGCTTGTCCTCTTTTCTCTCCGCCTGAGTTTGCGATCGAAACGTCGTGGGTTTTTTGCTTTAATTTTTATTTTATTGTATTATTTTTTATTTTCTATTTACATGACTTTACCGAAAGAACCAAGAATATTAAATAATCTCAGATTTGCTGATGACATGGTGATTATAACAGTCAATGGAAAGTAACTACAGAATATGTTTGAAGAACATAACGAAGGCAAAAAAGCTGGTCTCAAGATAAATATGCACAACACAAAAGTCACATCCAACAAGTTTGCCAAACGATCAAATGTGTCTAAACTAAACCATGTTTTATTTTACCAGGTAAGGCCCACTGAGCTATAAAGCTGTGGTTTATCGTGTGGATAATTATAGCAGCCAAATACTCTAAAAACATGTTTCTAAATGTGAAGGGGAAAACCAGAGGTTCCGGAGAAAACTCCACATGACCACAGGGAGGACATTCAAACTCCAAATAAACAGGCATCAGGGTCTGTCTGGATCGAACCCACAACCTCCTGTATACCAAACGTGTTAGTTAACATCTCGCACCGCGTCTGTTGTAGCGACAGAGTGTTTACACCTCGGGCAGCTATTGAAGGCAGGCTGAGATTAAACAGAATTAAATTAAAGCAGATGACAGCAGGTTAGAGTGCTCTTGGATAACCGAACTCGATAATGAAAAGCAAAATACCTGTAGATCAACGTTAACAATCGGCGGTATATCACCTGCGATGACGTACGGATCAAGAAGATGGACATTGACAAATATAATGGAACAATAACTGAAAAAATCCCAAAGCGTGCGGAGGCGCACGCTTGAAATGACACTGAGACAGAAAGATGAGCACAGGGATCAACGACAAACCCATACGAGTCATAAAACATCGATGCTTAACACCCGCCGATTGGACACATGTATTAAGAGCGTAAAAGATTGATTTTCATCAATGAATCGATAGCTTGTTGTGCCTGTCGTTTTTTTTAAGCAGCCTGTGGCAAGACGACACCAATTTTGAGTTTTAATGACCTCCAACACGTTGCCCTTGCTTAGGGAGACGCCCCACAAGGCGACTTCAAGACAATGCTAATGTTCTCAAATTTCTATACGTTAAGATATCTTTCCATTCCTGTAACATTTATCTTTCATTCCAGTTTACCGACTGACGTGACCTTTAAGAAGAACACTACTTGCCATTCCGGGCGATGCAATCGCTCCATGTCTAAAAAAATTCCAAGAAAAACAACACAAGCAATATCATTCAGGGGAATGAATGTCAATAAATACAGATAGACAGCATCGGCTTCCAAATAAATGCAGCCGTGCTTTGTTTGTCCGCACAAATAAAAATACGTAATTAAGATATCACAATTGCACTTAATAGTGTAATAAAATTTCAAAATGGCATGGCGAATAGGATAGGATTGGGAAATATTTGCCGGCATCTTAATAGAAGCAGTCACTACAAAAATGGAACACATTCTGCCAGTCGCCAGCAAAGCCTCTGGCTGGACCAAAAGCTCTCGGTAAAATGCTAGGCGTAGACAGAAAACTCGAGTATCTTTCAGGGACCACAGAGGACCATGCACTTTTCACAACAAATACGTGTGGGAAGGTACTTTTACTGAACGGTACATCCGCTTCACGCAGCCAACAGGAGCAAAATAAACCGGGAAAAAGGACAATGCAATTTAAAATAATTTAAATCGAGAAATGCAAGGTGTCACGGAGAGAGTGAGAAGTTTTAAAGAAGAAATAAACACCACTGTAGGGAAAGGCAGCTCATGGCGTGGCTGGCTAGCTCACCATCACGCGACGCACACCGATGGACTTTTAATGAACCCATAGGCTCCTTGACGTTGATGAAGTAGGACTAAATATGCCCACTGTGACCTGTTAGAGAATCATTTCACACCAGGTGTCATTTCAGTGCAAATTTATTTCGTCAAAATCTGCCACAGAAATATAAAACGCTGTGCAACCTCTCCTCTGGGCTGCATCGCTAAGATGCCAGAAATGTTGTCATGGTTTTTTTTTGCAGTCTGAGCCAACATCACCACCAGCAATGATCAATCCACCGGTAGATGAGGGCCTCGAAAAGCCATCATCACCTCCCAGGTTACCAATCCATCCAGCACCTGCACACACGCTCACATCAGTGATCCATCTCCGAGGACGATCATCGCCAATTTCCCACCACTGCAAATCGAACTCATCCATGGCATCAACTCCTCCTCCAAGAGCGTCACACTGTGTAAGCTAAATATTCGTCATGTGTTCGTAACGCCATGGCGCCGCCGATCTCGGGTTTTTGCTCGCACAGTTTCTGTTCCCCACCTCCCCCCCCGTGCTCTGTACTGGGCTCGTGTTGAGTCGTAATAAAAACAATTAAATATCCGTCATGTAACATTTGTTGTTCAGTTTGTGTACATGTTTATATGCAACAATCGGAAGAGTGGTTATAATTATTAAGGAGTCCATATAGAATAGTGTTACCGATCATAACAATTTAATGTTATCACAAATACTCTGGGTCCAACAAACACACTTATTTAACTGATTTCCTAAATATTGGTGAGGCCAACCAAGAAGTTGAGTTTACCGTGCTTCATTTTGCATATCAATTACACTTGCACAAATTCAAATGCGCTGCTCATAAACTCAATTATATTTGTTCCAAATCACTGCTTTTAAGTCCCTCTCGAACATTATTAGAATTCCGATTTAAAGCTTTCGTGACTGCAGGGATTCCTCTTCTTGGTTCTTTCGGTAAAGTCACGTAGAAGAGAAATAATAAAATAATAAAAATAAAACAATAAAATAATTCTCACGACATTTCGGCCACAACGCAAGCAGCCGTCCTCAGGTGAAGAACAGGTCTGTCGGACGCTGTCTTTCCGATTCTCACGACGTTTCGGCCACAACGCAAGCAGCCGTCCTCAGGTGAAGAACAGGTCTGTCGGACGCTGTCTTTCCGACAGACCTGTTCTTCGCCTGAGGACGGCTGCTTGCGTTGTGGCTGAAACGTCGTGAGAATTATTTTAGAATGTTTTATTTTTATTATTTTATTATTTCCCTTCTACGTGACTTTACCGAAAGAACCAAGAAGATTATTAGAATTCACATCAGTCGCTCCGGCACGATCGTCTAGATGTCTTAGACAGCTTATATTGGGGAAAGTAACTTTTCAAGTTTCTTAGCCAAAGTCAATTTAGAAGAAAAAAAATCATCAATCTCACCGACATTCATTTGCCCAGCAAGTACACACGACATTCAAATACACACACGGACGCATGAGTAGATAAATGCACGTACACACACGTTACCAGTCTACTCCAAATCGGTCACCAGGGACCAAACCACAGTGAAAGTGCCGACGTGTGTTCATGCATTCTCTTGGTAAGCTGACCAAACTCAGCCGACGGGTTAATTCACACTCACCTGAACTTCCTCACACTCACCTAAACTCACTCGCCCTCTCCTGACAGGCTAACTCTCCCTCTCATAACAGATTAACTCACTGACCCTCTCCTGACAGGCTAACTCACTCACTCTCTGCGGACAGGCAAACTCACTCACCCTGTCCTGAAAGGCTAACTCACTCAGCCTCTTCTGACAGGCTAACTCACTCAGCCTCTCCTGTCTGACAGATTAACTCACGAACCATCTCCTCAAAGGTAAAATGGCATGTGAGAGATTGTCAAGTAGCGTTCCTGTGCCGCTGTTATGAACGGGCAGCAGGAAAGCTGCACCTCCTTCACGCGCTACTCACCAGGTCTTGGCATCGGCGCTTCCGCTTCTTGACGTCCTGTTCCAAAACTTCGGCCTCCTTCCTCTTTTTGCTCAGCTCGCCCTCCTGGCAGAAGATCAGGTGGTGGAGGGGTGGGAGAACCGTGGACTGATTACGTATAGTAGCCAGCCTCCTCCGCATGTGTTCATGCAGAGGCCTTTGTCAATCCACTGCTGAATGAGGGCTTCTCAACACCTGCGGGGGTTATGGGGGTTATCTGATTACACTCCGCCACGCTGGTCAGCATGCGTTGATGATGGTCGTGAGCAACGGAGGTGGATGCAGAGCAATGCTATACAACAATGGAATTTGTTGCACAGTGCTGCCAACAACATGGTGTTCCCAGCAGCTTGCCATTCAAGTATTTGCCAGGTACAAATCCCACTTAGCTTGACGAGATCTGCCCCATTAAGAGTGGTTTGGTCGTAGGTTACTGTATGCGACGGCTTTCCGAGCGTCATCCTTTCACAAGAGTGGGGTTTGCGCAGGTATTGAACCTCTCTAAATGTCGCATTCAGGTTCCTGGTCAAATGGGGTTTGCGAATTTTACCCCACCACAAGAATACAATGCAGTGTGGATGTACACAGCGTGTGAGCGCAACTGCATTCATAGAAGGCTTTATTTATTTAAAGCAAGAAATCGACAGTCCGTCAAAGGCAGAGTTAAAGAGGACGGGTTTGACCCCAGGATTTGGCCAAGGAGCAGAAGCTCAGCAGCACAAATGGCTGAGGGGAAAGATATTCCAGACAGTGGGGGCGGCAGAGGTGAAAGCGTGACCCTCCCACCAAGTGAAGCTTGACTGGGAGCTTCGACAGAGGCCTCGGTTGCTGTCAATTCACTCCCTCCATGGGGACCTATGATGTCGGTGGAGAGACGGAAAGAGGTTTTAAAACCGTCAGCTTAAGATTGCATGTATGCATGTTGAACTTCTTTCGCACCGTACGTAGCCGACCGTGCTAATCGGAGGTGCGGAAGAAGGACAACAATTAAACACAAAAGGCAGAACTAAGGAAATGAGTTTTCGATCTAGATTGCAAGTCGGGCACAAACGCATCTATATCCCAGGTGATACTGCGTTTTTATTTAAACACATTTGCGGATAAAATGCGGTTTCAGCATGCAGACATGCTTTTTGGATTTTAGCGGAATGAAAAAGATGAGGATGGAGGTCGATTAAGAATAATATTTTCTCTCTCTCCTGCTTTGTAAATCTGTAGTCATTGGTTCTTTCGGTAAAGTCACGTATGTAGAAATAAACTTAAATTTAAATAAATCACAAAAAAAATACAATTTAAATAAGCGCTCATCATCAGGTGAAAATGGGGCAAAACACATAGCGAGGGAACACACAGAGGGACATCACACACAGAGCACACAGAGAACGGCAAACTGCACGGAGGCAAATACAGCAAGAAGATGGGAGACGCTAACTCCCTCTGTGTGTTCCCTCGCTGTGTGTTTTGCCCCATTTTCACCTGATGATGAGCGCTTGTGTTGCGTTCGAAACGTCGTGATTTATTGAATTTTTTTTTTATTTGTGATTTATTAAAATTTTATTTTATTTCTACCTACGTGACTTTACCGAAAGAACCAATGGAGTATATTAATTCCTGAAATCCCGAAAGCTTCATTTTTAGATTTGTTAATCTGCTTTGGTATCTGCCATTTAAGACAGGATGGAAATATGGTGAGCTGAAATAAATGTTTTTATAAACAGCGAGTGTGTTCATGCTAGACCTTTATTTTATTGAAATAATAAAAGGTGCGTAAGTGGACAACAAAAATGTACCTAACAGATGCGTGATGGTGCACATATGACTGACGAGAGACTAAAAGGGGAAGCAAAGCATCACCGCACAAAGCACACACCAAGTCGGAAGCACAGATGCATAGACAACAAACCCCACGTAGACATCAAAGCGTCCGCCAATATAAATAGAGCAATAAAGCCGCACAGGAGCACTGGAACAAAGACTCGGGAAAGATCACAGACACGTGCAAGCAATTCAACGGCACAGACATGTGAAGTACACAACACTCAGAGACGAGAGGAAATTCGTGCCAAAACAGAGCGGCAGTGATATTCATTCCATTAGTTCCGCAAATTATCAATCATATTTCAAGGCTCGCACGTAAGCGTTGTAGTCGTGATCCGCGTGCTGCTATGTATAGCCACATTGGAAGTTACCTAACGAAGCACATTCACTCCATTAATCTCACAGCATCACATATCATATACATAGCTGCAGTACAAGCAGACAAATCTTTATTTGGCTCATTTGCAGCCCCTTGTCAACCCACTGCTGGATGAAGACCTCCCCAGGCCGAACTTCACCACCTCTGACCGGTGACGGTCAGTGAAGTGGTGGGGCGGACAGGGCCGGTTCAGATATCGCTCACCGCTGATGCTAGCTGTGGACGGGAATCTAACTCAGGTCATCTAGTTCGAAGAACAGTGCGCGAACCGCTGCACCAATCTACCCCCAGCTCTTTATAGCAGGTATTCGCTGGTTTATCCAGGATGTTTCTCTTGCGCGTAGTCGCTTTAAGATGTTCTCTGTTCATATATTGTTTGTTGCAGTTGCACCCGACTCAAGAGCCGCATGGCTCACAGGGCTATACCAAATAAATTAAACTTAAAATCTATATATAGCAACACCGGATGTTATGCAAGGATAAAGAGGCCATTCTGTACATGAAAGCACTCATCTCACACACACACACAAAACATAAACTTTTGCAATGGTGATTGAAGTGGTGTGTGTCCTGCATTTACTGCTCAACTCACTCACTTTCAAAAGGTCATTTTACTTTTCCATATTGATCAAAAGGGTATGGTGGTGGCGGTGGCAGTGATGATGACTATGATGAAAGTTACCTACCCACACTTTACGACACCGCCACAAATGACTCAACAATACGACTGCTCTACCGGCCGATCGCTTTATGTCTATGTGGATGTAGACTGCAGATAAGCGATTAGAGGTCAAATGCCCATGGTCGTAGCTGCCTTGACCGAGAATAAAACGTGGCACATCTCCAATGGCAGTCGGCGTTGGATGGGACCTCACAATGCGCAGCCAGCACTTGAGCTCGCCCTAACTACTGCCTACGAACAAATCACCCGGAATGTGTGCTGTCTCACCAGATCTCGGAAGCTGGGTAGGGAGCTGAGCGAGGATACAGCGCTTTGATGGGTTACCACACACACAATAGGTTGTCATAGGGCTTAGGCGGGACTCTACATGGTTAGCAGCAGAAGGCAGCGCAGCTAAATCCATCACTGCGCTGAATTCTTCCCACCTTTACCAATCAGTATTTGGCCAGCGTGACCAAGCAAGGTAAAATAAACCTCATGATCGCAAACAGCTGTGGGGGAGATCCTCATCCAGCAGTGGACTGACAAGGCGGGTGTACGTGTAGGCATGCGTCTAACCAGCCGATTTGGCACAGTGGCAGAGTGAGGGGCACGCAATCGGACAGGTGAGAGTCTCCAAATCCTGGTCGCAAGTCTACTCAGACCCCCCTCGTCGCTCTGGGGTGATTAAAATGAACACGACTCTCGACGCAAGTTCAAAAATGTGATAATTGTTTTTTTACCCTTTTATCTGGCAACAAAACTGACACCTTTTTTACAAGGAGTCATGTTTGCATTGACCACAATACCTGCGGTCGGAATGTAAACAACAAACACAACTCTGATAATGTATGCACTGTCCTTGAAATTGATTGGTCCACACCCGAGACAGCTTTTCTTAGAGCCTAGTCTCACATGGTGTTGGACCAGATGATGCCAAAAGGCGCACTAAAAGGGTAAAAAACCAATTATCATATTTTGCTACTGGCAAAGGAGGTACCAATGGTTGAAAGATGTTGTCCCATAGAAAGTCTCACCAAACTCCATGGAAATGTGGCATTTCTACAACTGGCTCATGGCTGTGCACTGGACATGAGCACTTCCCCGTGCTTGAGACAAAAGGGCTGCCGAAAAAATATATTGTATACTTTTGTAAATATTTAAACTGCCTGGATTCCACGATCAATGCTAACTGAACTACAAAGATGACTTGGAGTGGTCCTCCCATGAAAGAGGCCAGAGCTTTATTTGTACGACTGAACACTACAAGTCGGCAATGTAGAGAACATGGTAATAAAGGAGCTCATTAAAGGAGCCGGGCTAAAAACATTGCCACCTGCAGCACCAAAGTGACCACAGTGCCTTCATTAATTTAGCGGATCCCATGTGGATGTTCGTGGCATCCATGCTGTGCACCATCCACTCTCTCCGCTCTGGTGCCATTCTTCCCACTGTGAGATTCATTCCCATGTTTCCTTTATCGCTGTCTACCCGTCATGTTGGCAGCCTTGTCCTATTGCCTCCTTTCTCTGTCGATGACTCTGTCTCTCTCTCCGTACGAAAGAAATATGCCGACTGTTTCCGTGCGGCGTCGCGAGACGCAGACGACAGTGTGCCAAGATGCTTTATGAGCCCAACATGTCTTGTATTGTGTTTCCATCCTCGTGTGATTATCTTGTCAAGGCCACTGCTGCCTGTTCTCAATAAATGTCCAGAGTAGCTTAGCTCTTTATGCTGTGTGTCCTCCAATAATTATTATCATTACTTCTGCGAGCACAAACTCATCTGTTCTGCTCGGCACAAAGCTGAATCAGAATATTTATTTATACTGGAGGAATCTGAGGAGCAATAAAGCTCTTTTTTTACAGATGTGCAGTAGGGGCGGGTCAGAACATTACTTCAACAAACAATACAAAAACATGATAGGAGTGCAAAGCATAGGAAAGGTAAACATGCCAACTCCAAATATACAGTTGTCAGGGTCAGGATCGAACCCCCGACCTCCTGCATACCAGACGAGGAATATAACATTAAACCACCCTGATGCCCCTTAAATAAATAAGGCATATAAGTTCAAATTGCATCATCAATTACCCAAGCTTGGGAAAGGTAGTAAAACAACAGCAAAAACAGTCTCAGACCACACTAAGACAACACACAGTACCTCAATAAAATTGTACCTTAAACTATCAATACATTAAGAATCAAATAAAATCACATTGCCAAATGTGGCTGTATCCAGCACTAATCTGCTTCAGAATATTTCTTGAAGCGAATGAGGAGTAAGCACTTGACGCTTTGGCCAGGATTTACATTCGCACAGTACGAGTGTTCGGATGTAAATGTCCGAATAGGGCTTACTGTATATGCCTGGGTCTCTCTCTCAGTAAACCCTCTGACAAGAAGCAATTGCATCAAGAGAGCAATGCCAATAACCTTCATCGAAACATCATGAGATGATCTATACTATCAGAAGTCATGCAGAGCAGGGCATCATCCTGTAGGTTGGAGAATGGCCCGCGGAAACAGATCATGCAGAAGTATTTCTGACATCCCTTCAAGTTACCTCTCTTATCTATTTGCTTTTAGGAGAAGACATGTTTGTTGCACCGACAGTCAAAATGATAGTTTAAATCTCAGGGGCGGAAGTTACTGTGATTGAGTTTTTGTGCGAAACCACTGGTGACATCAAACAAGGACCAATCACGCATTGAATCACATCGGTCATTAAACAACGCCACATGAACTCACTGAACCACAAATATATACATAAGCATAGCGTTGAAGAGAAGGCACAGCAGACGTCGACCCACAGTTGGACGGGGGCCTTTATGGGGGTCTCAGTAAATGGTAAAAGGTGGCGACGGCAACAGCTGATGAAGTGGAACCAAACAGTGCAGAAGGATACAGCAACTACAGGCGCTTTGTGTGTGTAGGTAGAGCCCTGAGATGGCACAAGACCGTGACAGCGGGAGAGACAGCGAGTTGCCCGACGCATTGTTGACACGCAATGGACTAAGCAAGTCATTGGCGACCAGGCTGAGACCAGCGGACTCACTTCATTTGAGAATACGTCTTAATTACAGGTGGATCAAACCCAGCTTCGAACCCTGGATGTCAGCCCAGAGCTGTGATCCCTGGGCCACCTGACCACCTCCCTCCATCGGTGATTTAGACACGGGCCAAAAAGGGTTGCCTGCAGCGATAGCAGTGCTGCTGCTGTGCAGTTGTGTAATCACTGCTCAGGACAGATGGAGCTGTGACCCATGGGAAAGCGTTCCGAGGGTGTGGGAGAATAATGCAGTTGTGTTTTTTTTGTGTCCGTGAACAAATAAAAGAACCGGGCCCCATAATCAATGCCCACACTTGTACACGGCACGATAACTCTAATGAGGTCATGCACCCTAGGATTTGTTCTAAAATGCTCGCTATTCATCGGCATATATGCAGTGAGCATGCACACGCTGTATACACGGAGAATGAGGTGAATATACATGACTAAACTCATCTATATTGTACAAGTACTTATTGTTACACATAGAAATTCTCTCATCCTTCCCCGCAATTCAGTGCCACTCACGTATTGCTACTGTCCAGTGTCATGGACGTGGTTGCATTTAAATGCTTTATGAATATAAAAGAAGTTGTACACACTAGGCACTGTACGTATGTTTGCACATCTACTTATAAAAGCGATAAATATATTTGAGGAATGACACAACTAAAATTCGGGGTAATGTTAGTCTTGTTTAGAAGCACAAATTTTCATGTGGTCAGGAAACATTTAAAAGATGACACTATTTACATTATAAAGCTATTACTAAATGTTTATAAATAAAGCTGTGTGATTATGAGCACTGTTTTAATAATGAGCACTGTTTTAATAATCATCAGCAGCCGTGTTCTATGCACTGCTAAGAGCCGCCCCCCCCTCGCACCAACATCATCCCTCATGATTCTACGACGCCACATTCCATCTCACTCCTGTGAAATAGACTTTTGGTGAAGGGCTCCTCAAAGGTACCGTGGGGACTCGTTGCGCAGGCTGCCCCTGCTGTCCCTCGGGCTCGTTGTTGTTATTGTTGTCGTGGTTTTTGGTGCCGAGTCCCAGTGGCTTCATCCCACGCAAGGCCGCGGTGTCACTCTCTCTCTACTCTCTCCCATGTTTCCCTGCCCACCGCCCCCCCTCTTCAACATCCCTGATGCCTCCTTCTACCCAAACGTAATGTGTTTTCAGATGCTGTATATATTTAAACTGTTATTGTTTCCGTTGTATACTTGACGGGTGATGAATGCCGTGAGAGGGGGGGGGGGGTAGGGGCAGGCGGGTGATGGTGCGAGCTGCTGCTGCTGCCAGGACTGACCAGGCGCTTGGAGCGCTGCACCTCCTGCTTGAGCTTCTTGACCTCGGCCTTGAGCGAGCGGTTGGACTCCTCGACAGCTCGCAGGCGCTCCGGGGGGGCTCTCAGGGCTGGCTGGCTGGCGCCGGAAATTTGCCGCCCCTGGTGATGGACACCGCACGCACACGTACGCACGCACACCTGGCCCGTCAAGCGCTGTGTGGCACACTTAAAAATCACCAATAATTGCAAAGAGTCGCTCTGTTTGTAGTTACTGCCACAGGGACAAAGTTACACACTGTATGTGTTAGGTCACGTCACATGTATGTCGCTTTCTTCCAGTGTACACGTATAAAAACGATGAGGTTTCGATGAAATGAAAACTTCTGATCTCTCGTTGTGAAATAAAGACATTCACAGGCGTCAGCACAGAACGTACAAAAAAAACACGTTTTCAAAATTCTCTATTTGCGCAACAGCAAATTATACGAAAATCTACGATGTCTTCAATAGTGGCGAGTGAGACATCAAACAGCAGGTGAATAGTTTTACTTCGACTGATAACAGTTTAATAACTCAAAGGAGGGAAACACTTTCACAACCAGTGCATTTAAGACCTGTGGAACACTGCAAGTGTGTTTAGGGTTCTTACAATTCAGTGTCAATATCAAAGATTGCAACAGTCAAACTAAAGCAACTTATTGAAGATCCTACGAGTAATGGGAGAAGCGTCCCAAGCCACCCAGCGTGGCTGCCTTGTTAGAATATTACACTGCCATAAAGATCGAAGTTGTACTGATTCATCCCACCTACCCCCCCCCCCCATGGTATTTCCATAATCGTCTCAATGCACAATCGTGATTCGATTCAGAAATCGATATCCTTCTTTACAGTGTGGTGGATATAGCAGCCACTCGCGGCTGCAGAGGTCAAGTTCACCCATTAAACACAATATATACAAATGGATAAACATCAATTCATATGCGTAAAATAACAGATGTCTCGTGCGCTTTCAGAATGACTATCAATTGATGACTCGTTCCACCTCTAATATGTAGGGCCTCGTTGGAGTAGGAGGTCTATTTTCAAGGGAGACTTGGGATTAAATAAGTACAGCAATCATAATATTTAATGATAGATGAGCCTGAGTTATAATTACCAGGCAAGAACCCATTGGGAGTAATAGCTATATATATCAAGGGGAAACATGGTGCAAATTAGTACAGCAAAACTACATTCTTATATATCTTCTTGGTTCTTTCAGTAAAATGACGTAGAATGGAAATAATAAAATAATAAAAATAAAACATAATAAAATAATTCTCACGACGTTTCCGCCACAACGCAAGTATCCGTCCTCAGGTGGAGAACAGGTCTGTCGAGGAGACAGAGTCTGAATATTTCCAATAATAAAATCTCAAAAGAACCAAGAAGATGAATCCCTGCAGTCATGAAAGCTTTAAATCTAAATTTACATTCTTATACGTTACCAAAACTACAAACCAGAACATTCCTTGCCTATAACATCAGGCAGTTCACCAGCACTGATTCAAGCAGGCCTGACTGCCGGTGAGACACCGTAAGTGGAAACAGGTCCAGAGTTTGCTTGGACTGAATAATCTATGCTGCTGAAAGTAACACAATCCCAGAAAGCCGTGGGCCGGATGGGTTATGTGGAAAATGCTATATATTTTTATATGGAAAGACAGATACGGAGGAGATGTATTGTCCACTTATTGTTTTCGACAAAGCATAGCGCATCATCTGAAAAAGATATGATGCAATATAATTGATAATAATAAAACTGGAAATTATATACTCGTTAACGTTCTGTGCTGTTAAAAGGACCCTCGAGGTAAGCACAACAAGGGAATATTTTGCTATAATTCCAGATTCGTGGATATAAAGATGCACGAGCATCCGATGTCCTGCTAGACATCTGTGACACCTGATGGACATTTGTGAAAAATAACTTTATAGCTCATCAGATTCCTCAAGTGTATATATAAAGATTCTTATTAATTTGAATGCTTATCTTGTTAAGTTTATCATCTCCTCCGTCGTGTTTGCTCCTATGACCTGACAAACGAATATAAACATACTAACGCGTTTTTGCCTTAATGGTGTTTCACGATTTCCCACGATTAATATGCCCTTCTTCTGTACACAATCCTTAGCTGCAGCTCCACCTTAGACACTATGTCAATTCAAACAGTTTTCACCAAACGTACCACGTGGTCACACGCCACTGGAGAAGGGAGTTCTGTATTGGTGAAAGATGATGGATCTGACTGCCTATTCCAGCAGGAGGTGATTAATTCTCGGAATTTGAAGCAGGCAATCTCATCGCTGGCTCCCAATCCAGTCCCGGGTCAATTTCTAAATCGAACTTAACATCTTAAAAATTCTCCATGGATGAGCCCAGGGGTCGGCAAACCTCCGGCTCCGGAGCAGCCTTTTCGGCTCTTTAAGGGCTCCTTGGTGACGTTATTTATGAAAGACGACCGTCTCGTATTCACATGCACTGCGGCTCTTGAAATATTGAGTTTTTACTGAATTCGAAAAAAATGCCTCTTCTTGTAATTTTGGTTGCCGACGCCTGGACTAGCCCCTGCCTAGATCTCCCCTCTCATCTTACTCTACTCCCCTCACTCCATGCACTCTTCGCTCCAGCAAACAAACCTTTCTGCCAAAGCCGACAGTTAACTTTTACTCAATGGGATGTCACTCATTCTCCTCTACTGCCCTCAAAGATCTGGAATTCCCTTTTCCCAGCCATCACTGATGTTCAAGTTTAGGATCAAGACCTTCTCTTTACTCCTCTCACGATTACCTCGCTAAAAAATAAATGTCCCCTATTTCTGAAAAGCGTCTTGAGATGAAGTGGAATTTAGATGCTATATAATCCCAAAATGTATCGTGTCTAAAATGCATTATTTTATTGAATAAAACCTACTCTTACACTCGTGATATAAACATTGAACTGAATGCCAAAGATTCAACTACATATACAAATCATGCAAAATACATGCAAATATGCCTTTACGACAGCAAAAGTGAATGCGACAAAACTATCAAGACACAATATATACGACATAAACAATAAAAATTTAGCATTTTTAAAAAAAATTCATGAATCTTTGTCGAATCGAATTCAGTTTTCAGTCTCAGTTTATTTGGTATAGCCCTGTGAGCCATTCGGCTCTTGAATTAAGATCCTGGAATAGCGATGAGCCGTCGAATCACCCCGGGGTTGGGGGTGAGCCATTACGCGCACAGCTGGGAGACACGGACGCCGTCTCGGTGAAGGGCATCGGTTGTCCGGCGCTCGGCACTTGGCTTATTGCTCAGAGCAGGAACTTACAAAAAATACAAAGGTCATTTTGCCCTTCAGATTATCGATCGTAAAAAGGTAGGCACACAATGGCGCTGTTAAACATATGGCGGGGAACACTGACAAACAGAAAATGAAGTTTACACGTGCCCAAAACTGTTTACTTTTCCTCGTAACGCGTTTAATGGCGGTATAGAGCAGTTCTAGCTAAAGTGAGTAAATTAAGCGATTCCAAAACGACAAGCTAAGCCAGCAGCGTTAACAGCACTGTACACATCACAAAGGCGTTTATAGAGGCACTGGCTCACAAATGAATACGCGATTGACACGGGGCTCGAGCCACAGGCCAGTGTGAACGCTTTGAAGTAGATTTCCTCAGTGTGCCTCGGTCTTTTTGGGTAATAATAAATAAAACCACAACCCAAATGCATTTCATTACATTTTTTTCACATTTCAGCAGCAAGACCAGAATCTCCAGCTGTGTTAGTAAATGTGACGGGACTTAACCGCACTGCAATGCATTGTTAAAAAGATTCACAATACAGCCCTGTTCCCAGAGATTTTATTATTGGTGATGATTTAGGGTCGGTATTGGATTAATCATTTATTTTTTCCGTCTAACTGTCACCATTGCCTTACCATTGTTTATTATTTGATTTGTACAATCCCATTCCCTTCATTACCCTAAACGTCACATGCATATCGTTAATAATAATTGGTTCTCACATGCATACTCGGGTAAAATTAAATCATAAATTCGTACGCACGCGCGCAAATCGATGCACGTCTCGTGAGTGTCAGGGCCGATTTGAATTGTTGAATCACTATGTACCTAGAAACGACGCTATCTGTGCCATACACACACACACACCACTTGATTGGCCACACGCATGACCCAATGCAAGCAGCCAAGGAAACCATTCTCACATCCAAAGCCCTGTGTGTCTGTCTGGAAGGATTATTGACTGTGTAATGAAGACAGGCCTTTGCTCAAATCATCCGGAATGCGCCCGGTCTTATCAGACCTCGGAAGCCAAAAGCCTGGATTGTACTTAAAAAAAAAACTCAAACATTCGTCAATACGACTGCCTTAACGAAAATATACACATCACAGGCGACATTATGGGCAATGGGTCTTCTCCATAGCACATAACTGAAGAAAGGCCGACACCCACGGGAAGGAAGCTTAACAATATCTGAGTGATCCACCAATCCTTCCCTCCAGTGCTGGATTACAGGCATGTGCCACCACTGCTCTATCTATGGCCTTTCCATAAATCAATGTTTTTTTTCCCCACCCGCAGCTCAACTGTGAATGTTATAAAAATTAACCCGTAAAGACAAAGTTTTTCACTCTTAAATCCTTTATATGCGTGGCGGCTAGAGTCCTCTCGTCCTCTGGCTTGAGATGGCTGCCACCTATGGGTCAGATGATTGTCTGCCAGCATTAAGCAATTGGTAATTAAGTTTTTTTTTTCCTAAACAGTGTAAAATTTTGGAAAAAAATTTTCACGAAAATTAATTGTCACGCACAATGAGTCTGTGTGGAAAATGTCAGCTCGATTGGATTACGGGAAGTGGGTTAAAAAACGACCGAAAATTTTTCACGGTCGTAAGCAAGCAAGCAAGCACGCAAGCAAGCAAGCGAACTCAATATAAAGGATTTTAAAACTTACGTCGGCCAGAAATTGCCTGAAGAGGAATACCACTTTTTTATATATAGGAAACGTTTCTGGCAATGACCCTTCTGCTTGTGCCATGAAAAAGGATGCCATGAACAAGGGTCAGTGCCAAAAAATGAGATCTTTTTCCTTTAAAGACCACAATG